TAAGAACTAGTAGTGGTTGATAGGGGTAGGGCAATATGGATGGGAATTGAGAAACAAATAGAAAAAAAAAAGTTTTGTTCTCTTGTTATTTAAGCACATTCTGTAAAATAGTCTATCATCAAAGTATCAGAAAAACATTCTTTTTGTTTGTGTTTTGAGATGAAGTCTCTGTCACCCAGGCTAGAGTACAGTGGCATGACCTCGGCTCACTGCAATCTCTGCCTCCTGGGTTCAAGCGATTCTTGTGCCTCAGCCTCCTGACTGGCTGGGATTACAGGCATATGCCACCACACCCAGCTAAGTTTTGCATTTTTAGCAGAGATGAGGGTTCATCGTATTGGCCAGGCTGGTCTCGAACTCCTGACTTCAAGTGAACCACCTGCTTCAGTCTCCCTAAGTAATGAAATTACAAGCATGAGCACCTGAAAAACATTCTTTTTTTTTTTTTTTTTTTTTTTTTAATTTGAGACGGAGTCCAACTCTGTCGCCAGGCTGGAGTGCAATGGCGCCATCTGGCGTCACTGCAACTCCGCCTCCCCGGTTCTAGCGATTCTCCTGCCTCAGCCTCCCGAGTAGCTGGGATTACAGGCACGCACCACCACGCCCAGCTAGTTTTTGTATTTTTAGTAGAGACGAGGTTTCACCATGTTGACCAGGATGGTCTAGATCTCCAGACCTTGTGATCCGCTCGCCTCGGCCTCCCAAAGTGCTGGGATGACAGGCATAAGCCACCGTGCCTGGCCAAAACATTCTTATTGAGTAGTTTTTCATAAACTATATTTCATGAATCACACACAAAAATAGGAGAATCTGAGGAATCTGGTAAAAAGTATCAAAGATACATTTATGTTTGTTTCTACTTTTTCATCTTCCTGTGATGAAAAATAATATACAGCTATGAAAGCACAGGTCCCAAAATAAGCCCCAGAAGGTTAGTTTCCCAGTCTCTAACAAATCCTTGGCTACCACTTCCCAAGAATAAACCCAGAAAAGATTTCTTAGAACATGGAACCCTCAAGACTCTAGTTTCCTTGCCCCGAAACTTCAAGTCCAGCACACAGCCAATTCAAGTATGTAACTATTCAACGTACAGAATCTCTGGGTACCCGTTCTATGTATTTTAGGTAGATCAAAATGACCATTTCATATTTCTCATGAGCTTGGCGAAGCTTTAGCAGGACAGTCTCACATATAGGTATTCCCTTAGAGTGACTTCCTTTTCCTTGGGGGAAAAAGAGGGACCTTATCTTAGGGTCCTCTTTGCTCTGCATTAATAATGAGGTTCTCTTATCATCGCTCTTTCCTTTTCAGATCTGGTCGAAGGCTTTTAGAACCTGGGTGGCTGTTCTTTTTTGTTTGTTTGTTTGGTTTTTAATGTTTAATGTTTTTAAAGCCATTACATAGCCTTTTAAATCGCAGGAAAAAGACAGAGGATATTTATAAGGAAATTTGTGACAGAAGCAGTTTGACTTTAACCAAAATTGGTATCAAAGGTATAAATAAGATTCAGTTGAAAGAATCCTTATAATCAATTTAGATAACCTCTTAAACAAAGGAGAGCAGATGATGAGGAGTGAGTACTTTTCAGTGTGTTATGGAGGAAGCCCTGATTGGAGAAATTATTACAGAAAATATAAAGGATTATGCGACTGTTTTTCTTTCTTCAAGAAGCCTGGTCTAGTCTGCCTCTAGGTCTTTGAGAATACTTAAAAGACTAGATTGGGGCATAGCTTCAATCATTAACACAAGCAAATGTTCTGTTATTTTTTTCGTAGACAAACAGATGGAAGGGATTCTGCTCAAAAAGGGCCAGAGAAAGGAAAAGGAAGGGGTGGGGAGAACCTGGAAAGTCGTAACATTTCTTTTTAAATGGGTTCTTGAGCCCTAATGGCTGTAATATCAGGTGGGTATTTCCCAGGAGTTTCTATGTTTAGCAAAAATTAAAGTGGGTCTGTAATTTAGGTCTAGAAGTAGTGACTGGAAATAACCAAAGGTATGTTGCATCTGTTCCTTCTTAGTGTGCATATGTATTTAAATTTGTTATGGGAGAGGAAATAATTGGTGAGTAATTAGTAAAATGCTTAACCTAACTTTAATCAAGAGATTATTTTCCCTGGAAAAAGCAATCACGGCTTTGCATTTTGGTGAGCTTTATCTCACTAGTCTCAATTATCCATGGCTATCCAAGCCTGCAGATACCCTAATGTGTCCCATTAAAGGCAGGCAGGCCAGCTACTAAAAATGCAGGCACAATGCCTCAGGGTAATAAGAAGCCTTAGTGGGCTTATTTTGCAAATTGAGCCCTCTTTAGTAATGGCAACTGTGACAGCCCCCTTTAGGACTCCAAAAGAGTCTTTTTCAGTCTGAGTCCCAGATCCACTCCCTTCTGTTTAAGGTGGAAACTGCTGTCCTGGCTGCCAGCTGCCTCATCAGCTTAGCCACAGTCTCCCTGGGCTCTGCTCTCCTTTTTCCCTGTCATCTTTCTCCAATCCTTCATCTTTGGCTACCTTAACCTTGAATCAATTCATTCTTTCACTTCTCTGGCCTTTTGTGAATCCAGAATTTCACTAAAATGTCCTCAGAATTGCTCAATTCTACTATTACCCCTAGCCCAGGAATTCACAATGCAAATGAGCACGCTGAAGACAATCGCCATCTGTCAGCGGGACGTTCTACATTGTTTTTCCTGAAAAATTTTAAACAATTAAAATTGTACAGTTACTGCACGTTCTCTTAGGGTTGCCCTGCAACACATGATTGCTTTTTGCAAGATGTTTTTACCACACTGCTACACAGATATATATTGTTACTAAATGAAAATGCTATATGAAATTATGATAGCTGTTAGGACTAGACATCAGACCTCTTGGCTTGACAATTATACAGATGAAGAAGGCTGTAAGAAAAATTCCAAACTGATGAAATGAACATAAAAATGAAAGGGAGATTTTCTGTTTGTAATTTTTTAAATTTATCTTTTTTTTTTTTTGACAAAATCTACAAATGTAAAACACCAATCCAACAACCAACTTGTTATTGGGAAAATTGTGAAAAGAACAATTTTCAAAAGCTAGCAATTATCATACTGAATAATATCTTATTTTTACAAAGGCTGATTATTATAATATTTGTGAATTTAGTGGGTCTTCATTTTTTTAATTTAATATAGTCTTCATCCTTCATCTAGCTTCAGCCCAAGTTAGAAGACAAAAGGAGGTAGTGAAAGATGGGCAGAAAGAGTCAACAGGATGGATTTTGTTTCCTAGGAGCACTAACAAAGGTCACAGCAGGAAAAGGCCACAACATCCACCCACACTGAGGTTACTGGATTATCTGTAGCCACATCCCTATTAGCCCAGATCACCAAATCACTAGTCTAATGGAAGATTTTTTTTTTTTTTTTTTTGACTACAGAGAACAATGGTCAAGACAATTGACACTTATAATGGGCATGCCTAAAGGTGGTGAAGTCACAACTCATCAGGAATCTATTTCCTGCTTATAAAAAAGTCTCTGGGCAAATCTGAAAGTGATTTAACCTATACTGTATCACCTAGATGTCTCCATCTGAAACAATTCTGACACTTTATCCTCTTCCCCAGCTGTAGCAGCATCCCATGGGGGTTAAATTTCTATAAAAATACTGTGAAAGGGCAGGGTGCAGTGGCTCATGCCTATAATCCCAGCACTTCGGGTGGCTGAGGTGAGCAGATCACTTGAGGTCAGGTGTTCAAGACTACCCTGGCCAACATATGGTGAAACGCTGTCTCTGCTAAAAAATACAAAAATTAGCTGGGCGTGGTGGTGCATGCCTGTAATCCCAATTTCTCAGGAGGTTGAAGCAGAATTGCTTGGACCCAGGAGATGGAGTTTGCAGGGAGCTGAGATCGCGCCACTGCACTCCAGCATGGACAACAAGAGCAAAACTCCACCTTGAGGAAAAGAAAATACTGTGAAAGAATTGTAATAAAAGTAGATTTTAACTAGATTGCCTTAGAAATTATCACTTGCTTATTTAATGCTGGTAATTAACATCCAGGTTCCAAGAATCTTACAATGTTAGCGTTAAAAAGAACATTTGAGATCACTAAGAACAATTTCTTCATCTCACATGTTAAACCAAAACTAAGGAAAAATTTTTAAAAAGCTAAGTGGGTAACTGCCTTGCTAAGGATGACCTGATTGCTACAAAGACGCCTACAGTCTTAGTCCAATTCTTTTTCCACTGCATCCACATGCCTTGCAGTAGGTAAAGAGAAAACATGTTGATTTTATCCAATTTAGTATAAGAATCTTCTAGATAAAGAAGGCAGGTAAATGGTTGCATAATAGAACCTCATTATTAAAAACTGTACCATACACCAAGGGTTCCATTCAACTTTTGCTCAAGGTGGTGTGTGTAAAACTTCTGCTAAAGTGTTTTTAAAAACAAAAAAAATTTAAGTGTTTTCAATATTGCCTACATTGGTGGATCTCTGCCCAATTCATGTGAGAAGCAGAACATCCCTCTCATTCACTACGCCTCACTATGCAGTGATTCTCAGTGGTGATATTATAGGGGGGCAAACACCCACATCCACACACTTATGTAGGGGGATCTATTTTTTTTTTTTTTGAGACGGAGTCTCTGTCACCCAGGCTGGAGTGCAGTGGCACCATCTCACTACACTACAACCACTCACTACAACAACCTCTCGGGTTCAAGCGATTCTCCTGCCTCAGCCTCCTGAGTAGCCGGGACTACAGGCGTATGCCGCCACACCTGGCTAATTTTTTGTATTTTTAGTAGAGACAGGTTTTCACCATGTTAGCCAGGATGGTCTTGATCTACTGACCTCATGATCCACCAGCCTTGGCCTCCCAAAGTGCTGGGATTATAGGCGTGAGCCGCCTTGACCGGCCAGGAGGATTTATTCTAATAGAGAAGCATGCAAGTTTAAAAGAAGCACCACCCCTGCCTCAGCAGAAACATCATTGATCTCCCCAAAGTGGCACTTAACACAATAAAGTTAATGCTGAAAATTCACATTGACTTTTAGGACTTAGAAGAAACTCTCCTTACATCTCCAGGGTGCCTGACTAGGTCAACCACTGACCCTTTTCTTTGATGGTTCACCATCTCTTTGGGGAATCAATATCCACACAAAAACAACACAATGCAAAAGTCCTATTTTAAATTTACCCACTCTCTGCATCCTCTAGGCCCCTCTCATCTTTATTTTTCTCCTTAACATGTACCACTGTCTAAACATAATTTACTTATTTACTGTTCATCTCCTTTCATTAGATTAAAGTAAGTTCCAAGAGGGCAACAATTTATGTCTGTTTTATTCACTGCTGTGTACCTAATACTTAGAACACATAGTAAATGTGCAAACAATATGTTGATTAAATGAATATTAAAATGATAACAACACCTTTACATTTGCTAATTCTACTTGTTCATCTTCTTTTCCATCATTCCCTTCAATCATTCTCTCATGCCCAGTATAATGGCCCTCCACCCCCTTAGGGCTTTTTCTGCTGGCTGCATCTAGGAAGGGTATAGCCACTCTGGACTGCATGGTTATCTGTTAAGCGATAATCCTCATTTACCCCCACCTTCTTATCTTCTACTGCACCTGCTGTGCCAACACTTAACCCTATATAACCCCCAACATCTAACTTACCTTACTCTTTGCCCAATCCAAAGCAGTGCTACGGAAGATTTTAAATTCATGCTGGACTGGACCAAGAGCAATTCATGGCAATACTTAATGTTCACAGCCCACAGCAAATAGAAGAAAGAACAGAATTAGGAATTAGAGCTGGGTTTGAAAATTGGGTATGACATATACTACCTGGCGTCTTTGGTTGAATCAATGAATTATTTGAGCCTTCTTTTTCCTCATCTGTACAGTGGGAATAATACTATCTACTTCATATCATGAAGATTATATTTAATTAATTGACTTTTTGAGACACAGTCTCACTCTGTCACCCAGGCTGGAGTGCAGTGGCATGATCAAGGTTCCCTGCAGCCTCTGTCTCCCAAGTTCAGGCAATTCTCATGCCTCAGCCTCTCGAGTAACTGGGACTACAGGCGCATGCCACAACACCTGGCTAATTTTTGTATTTTTTGTAGAGCCAGCGTTTTGCCATGTTGCCCGGGTTGGATGAAGATTATATTTTAATAATGTATATAAAAGCTCCCAACAGGTTTATATCCATGTAGGCTGGGCACAGTGGCTCACATCTGTAATTGCAACATTTTGGGAGGTCAAGGTGGGAGGATCACTTGAGCACAGGAGTCTGAGGCCAGCTTGGGTGATATAGGGAGACCTCACCTCTACAAAAAATTTAAAAAATAGCCAGCCATAGTAGTGTGTGCCTGTGGTCCCAGCTACTTGGGAGGCTGAGGCTGCAGTGAGCTGTGATCACACCACTATATTCCAGTCTGGGTAACAGAGGGAGACTCTGTTTAAAAAAAAATTATAGTCACGTAGAAAGTGCTTAATAAATATTAGCTCCTCCTCTTTAACATATTTCACTAACTTCCAATGATACCTTACTCTCTGAGTGATTCACAAGAAAACTCAAGCTTTCTGGTATGAATCTTCTTAATTTCTTTCTCTTCTCTCCTTTTCATAATTCTATGTTTTCACCAATTTTCTCTCCTGATTCTGAAAGCCTCTCTCTTCTGTTCTAAGACCCTGCATGTCAATAGTTTTCAAGCCTGGCTGCACATTAGAATCAGCTGGGGAGCTTTTTAAAAATGCATCATCACTGGGTCCCACCACAAACCAATTAAATATAATTCTCTGGAGGTGGGAGCATGGCGCCAGTATTTTTTTAAGTTTCCTGGTAGGGCGTCAAGACAATTTAATGGGGGGAAGAATAGTCTTTTAAACAAATATTGCTCGAACAACTGGATATCCAGATTCAAAAGAATAAAGTTGAACTCCTTTATACTATACACAAAAATTAACTCAAAATGGATCATACATTTAAATATAGAGCTAAAACTATAAAACTCTTAGAAGAAAACAGAAGTAAATCTTCATGACCTGGAGTCAGGCAAAGCCAACTTAGCTATGACGCCAAAAGCATAAGCAACAAAAGAAAATAAACACTGAACTTCATCAAAATTAAACATTTTTATACCACAAACAATATTAACAAGAAAGTGGGCTGGGCGCGGTGGCTCACGCCTGTAATCCCAGCACTTTGGGAGGCCTAGGTGGGCGGATCACGAGGTCAAGAGATCGAGACCATTCTGGCCAACACAGTGAAACCCCGTCTCTACTAAAAACACAAAAAAATTAGCTGGGTGTGGTGGCACGCACCTGTAATCCCAGCTACTTGGGAGGCTGAGGCGGAAGAATCGCTTGAACCCAGGAGGTGGAGGTTGCAGTGAGCCGAGATTGCGCCACTGCACTCCAGCCTGGTGACAGAGCAAGACTCCATCTCAAAAAAAAAAAAGAAAAAGGAAAGTGAAGACAACCTATGGAATGAGAAAAATATTTGCAAGGTATATATCTGATAAAGAGCTTGTGTACAGAATATATAAAGGACACTTACAAGTCAAAAAGAAAAGATAATCTAATTTTAATGTGGGCAATGTGTCCAAACAGATATTTTTCCAAAGAAGATATACAGATGGCCAATAAGCACATAAAAAGATGCTTGGCATCATTAGCTATTAGGGAAATATAAAGCAAAAACCACTATGAGATCCCACTTCAAACTCATTAAGATGGTCCTAATCAAAAAGATATATAATAACAAGTGTTGATGAGGATGTGCTGAAATTGGACCTTCATACATTACCGATGGGAATGTAAAATGGTGCAGCCACTTTGGAAAACAATTTGGCATCTCCTGAAAATGTTAAACATTTAGTAATCACAATGACCCAGCAATTCCAGTCCCACGTGTGTACTCAAGAGAAATTAAAAGTCACACAAAAATGTATACACAAATGTTCAAAGAAGCATTATTCTTAATAGTCAAAAAGCAGAAACCAAAATATCTATCAACTGATGAATGGATAAGTAAAATATGGCACACTGGAATATTACTTGGCAATAAAAAGAAAGGAAGTACTGATATAGGCTACAACATGGATACACTTTGAAAACACTACACTAAGTGAAACAAGCTAGTTACAAAAGAGCATGTAGTGTATAACTTCATTTATATGAAATATCCAGACTGAGCAAATCTATATATAGAGAAAGCAGATTGGCGGTTGCCTAGAGCTGGGGAGTGAAGAAAAATGAGGAGTGACTGCTAATGGGTATGTGGTTTCTTACTGTGATGATGAAAATGTTCTAAAATTGATTGTGATGATGATTGTACAACTCTGTGAATATACTAAAAAATATTAAATAGGAAAAAAGAAAAAGAAGGAAGGGGGAAGGAAGGGAGGCAGGGAGGGAGGGAGGGAGGGGAGGGGAGGAGAGGTGAGGGGGAGGAGAGGGAAAGAGGTAGGGAGGGAGGGGGAAAAATTTCCACAGGTAATTCTAATACTGAAGTTTATTTCTGATATTTTACTTTCTGGATTCCTTCAGAGTAGAGTCTGCATTTTCTAAATTTTTTTCTCCCTCATACTCTTACAGATTAATAACACGGAGCAAGAGTGTGATATTTTTTGAATTTTTTTTTTTTTTTTTTTTAGCAGTAAAGTGTTCTTGGGGATGGTCTTTATTTTAATCAAAATTGCAAGATCAGGCTGCCACCTGGCAGAGTTGGTCATCTTGGCTATCTTGAATTATCTGAGCTCGCCAAGCAATTAATTCAGCTGAAGCACATAGAAAGAGGGTAGGCACAGTGCAAACAAAACTAACCGGTTTTGCCATCGAAGCAGGGCTGTTTTGTCATATACCAGCGGATATGGCCTCTGGCCCTTAGGAACCATTCTTTTGACAGTTCCCCAGGACATGGCTCTGGTTTGACTGACTTTGTTTACTAAATAAATTAATTCCTACTTCTGGAGTAGCTTCAATTTTTAAACAGAAAGCCATCTATTGACAGTCACTGATACACAGGATTTTATTGTTTGATATTAAACAATTAAGAGTTATTGTTTTTTCCCTACAAGTACACTATACATGAAGATAAATATAATGTAGAATACAGTCACTAAGAGTGGGGAGAGAGAGGGGGCTTCTATATCTACTCTGTGCCTTAAAGGAACAGTTTTACTTTAGTAAATTCAAAGTGCATACTGTTACTTCTTTCACAGAAATAAGGCTCCCTTTTGGCAAAATGCGCATCAAAGACAGAGTCTGATGAATATTTTTAAAGATGAGTTTGATTATGTAAACAACATTTTTAAAATATCCTAATAATTTGGTCTTTTGATCTAGTAGACTTCAATAATTTAAAATTACTTGGAAATTGCTAGTTTCAACAAACTCTCTGAAGGTACACAGAAAAGGAAAATGCTGAAATAACTCAAGATGTTTATAAATATTGTGTCCAAAATGTTATCTCCTTCGTTAAACCCAGCATATAAAAAATAGCAAAATATGAAACCACAATTATCTGAGTATAGGACAAAGATTTGATTTAGAATCAGGCAGAAGTTTTCCCTCTATTACTCCAGCAAGTTCAAATGTACTCAGAAATACAAAATGATTGATCATCAGGCATAAGTTTGAAATAAGATGAGTTTACAGTTGGAAGATTCATTAAGAACAATAATTCAAAAGATATGACACCTATAATTTAGGAGCCTTGCTTCACGATATAAGATAACCTGAAAATTAAGTAAAAATCTGAAAATTAAGCATTGATTTCACAAGGTAAACATGGCAGCCTGGATTACAAGAAATATGAGGCATTTTGCTTTTTCACCAGAAAGAACAGCTGGGTACATGCTGCAGACTGGCATTATGAATTGCTCAAAGGGAAGCAGTTGGGAAATGCTGTCAGATTATTCGGGTTGAGGAGCTGCCCCAGGGCAGAACTTGTCACAATGTCACATCCCTCTTCACTCTCACAATTTTCAGCAGAATACACCAGACCCTTGGAAGACACATTCAATCACAAATACTAACTTTTTGTTGAAACTCCAGTAGCAAACTATCAAACCAGCTTCATACACGGAACATGCCAGGACTTTTCGATGTTTCCCCAACACAGTGGAATAAACTATTTTCAGCTAAAAGCTCATCTCAGGAAAACACTCGTGTGCATTTCCATGCAATATAACTATGGAACATAGTAACCACTTCTTAGTTTTCGTTAGAGGAAATTGAAAAACTCGAGTGTCAGGATAATTCCTCCTTTCCCTCTAATGCAGCTTTTTAGATTTTTGACACTGTAAATAAAGCGTAAAGAGTGACATAAAGAGCTGCGAATATATATAGATACACCACTATGGCTCCCGTCATAAGAGCTTTTGGAAAATGCTTGAACAAGTATTCATCTTCCCCAAATCGCAATCGCAAGACACTGACTGTTACACAACTGTGAAACAAAGGCAAGGTGAAGGGTGAAGACCGGCAGAAAGGACGGTCGCAAGGAAGACAAGTGCCCCCGCAGGACAGAACCTGCCGGTCTCGCGGGCCCCGCTTCTCTCAGCACCTTTCTGCTGTGCTGAGCTTTTCCGCCAATACCATCCAAATCACCTCTCAGACAAATGAATCTCCCTTTAAGGAAAGCCAAGCAGGCATCCGAGGTAACGTGCAGAGCCGTAAATGAAAAATGCCCCCGTCTAGCAGGCAGACAAGCGAAGGAAAACCAGCTGTCAGTTTCAGAGGCTGCTCGTCGTAACAGGGTTTCGGGTTTCTCTCTGCCCCTGTCTCTCCGTCTCGCCCTCAATAATATCAGCTTTCTAATCACCTCAAATCACAAGCACGTTCTCCTGTCCGTCCTTGTGAAATAAACGCTGATGAAACAGGAAAAACAGAGTGCAATACTCACAACAACGGAGAATTCCTACACATGCTGTTCCATTTTCTTGCTTTGAAAAGATGTAAGGTTAATTTTAAAAGCCTTGCTGGATTAGGAAAATAACGGGGAGGGGGATTCCACCCACACAATCCTCCAGCCCACCGCGAAGGAGCCCGAAGGCTTGCTGACGTCACAGATTCATGAATGGATGTAAATTGGGCTGGTTTAGGATTCCGCACAGACTTCGCTTTGCTGTGTGCCACGAAAAAAAAGAGGGGCGGGCCCAGAGTAGGCCCGGCCAATAGGCTTCAGGCAGACTTGGCCTTCCTTCTTTTAGAAGGAATCTGGTCACAGAATAAACAGAGCCCGCCAATCAGGCATCTGCCACTGCCTTAAGACAGACTGGCAGCTTGAGGAGAGGGAGGGAGGGACGGAGACTGAGAGAGAGCGAGGGAAAGAGAGAGAGAGTGAGTGTGTGTATGTTTCAAGCTGTGATAGTCATAAAAACATTATTATTGCTATTGAATGAAAGAATCAAAATAGAATTTCGGTGGAATCAAGGCTAACAAAAATGCATATAGAAGAAATCCCATCTTTTATTCATTAGAGCTCTTTTCTTTAACCCTTTTCTTACTGTTCAGCAATATGCCTGATGCAATCAAAACAAATCAAAGTCAGATAAACTATTTCTAAAACTGGCGGACTAGTGATATGTATGCCTGGCCCACCACGACTTGTAAAAGGAAAATTAAGGGAAGGATGCATGGGAACAATAATCTAGTAACTAAGAAAACAGAAATATGGAAAACAGTATTACATGAATGTAACTGTTTTGTATAGCAGTAACATCTTGCTGACCTTCATGTTGTATCAAAAGTGGATATGGAAGAAAAACTTGCTGCTACTTTTAAGAAGGGTACAGCGTTTCCTCATTGGTTTATTCAACTTCTGGCAGTCAATTAAGACACAGCTCCAAAAGGGTGCTTAATGAAAACTTTGAGCAAATTTTGGTTTCAGTAAGATGTTTTATTATTAACAACAAAAGCAGCTGTATTAAATTCACTCAAAAGGCATCTCTTGCTTCTTTATTTTTACACTTTTCAGTTTTACAAAATTGGAGATGAATGTATTTATTGTCCCTACTCCTCATCACTACACCTCACAACGGCTAATACTTGACAAATACTGATCATGATTTTTCTGAACTTGGGAAATGGCCTCAAATCCTTGAAACTAGAACAATCATGGTTAATATAAAGCTTCAGTTATGAGGTGTCCAGTGACCAAGAACATTCTGAACAGAGATCTGCTGTCTTTCTCAATCAGATTAGTTACACAACTGTGAGAGAAGGAAAGTGGTTGCCTGTTTTTTATGTGGTTCTGGAGGGTCCAAACCTGGCCTCTAGTAAGTACTGCACACTTCTTAGCTCATTTGGCAAAGGAAAACGTTTCAGGACTATTTTGCACACAGCAAAGATATTCAGTGTACTGTATATATTGAAGCAATAGAATATTGTTGGCAAACAACATAGCCAACAAATTTCCCTAAAGGAGCTTATTGTGGAATATCATTACAAAAAAGATAGACCAAAGAAGCTTACCCATGTAATATGGGAGAGTGTTCAAGGCAAATACGGTATTGGTGCATGCCCAGTAGGCCTGAGTGTACAACATTATTTAAGAACCAACAAATGGAAAGATGAAGAATATACATCTCTATTTCTTTTAACAGTGACCAAAGCCAATCAGGATACATTAAAAGAATCAGATTTATGAAAAACATTTTTTTCTTCCAAAACAATACAGGCTAATAGAAAGAGGCAAAGAAGCAAACTTAATAAGATACCCAACAAACATCAAGCTGTGTGTGTATATGTTATTTATTTATTTATTGTGGAGACGGGGTCTCGCTCTGTCTGTCACCCAGGCTGAAGTGCAGTAGTGTGATCAGAGCTCACTGCAACCTCAAACTCCTGGGCTCGAGTAATCCTCCAGCCTCAGCCTCCCAAGTAGCTGGGACTACAGGCATGTACCAGCATGCCTGGCTAATTTTTAAATAAGTTTTTGTAGAGATGGGGTCTCACCATGTTGCCCAGGTGGGTCTTAAACTCCTGGGCTCAAAGGATCCTCCCTCCTCAGCCTCCCAAAGTGCTGGAATTACAGATGCGAGCCACTGCGGCCAGCCAAGTTGTATACATTATATATCTACAGCTTTTTGTCAATTGTATCTCAATAAAGCTGATTTTCTTTTCTTTAAAGATATCTAAAGCTGGCCGGGTGTGGTGGCTCACACCTGTAATCCTAGCACTTTGGGAGGCCGAGGCGGGCAGATCAACTGGGGTCTTGAGTTTGAGACCAGCCTGGCCAACATGGTGAAACCCTGTCTCTACTACAAATACAAAAATTAGTTGGGCATGGTGGTGCACGTCTGTAATCCCAGCTACTTGGGAAGCTGAGGCAGGAGAATCACTTGAACCCAAGAGGCAGAGGTTGCAGTGAGCTGAGATGGCGCACTACGACAATCCAACCCAGGCAACAGGGCGAGAACTACCTCTCAAAAAAAAAAAAAGGCTAAAGCTGCTTCGGAAGTTAATACATTTGCTGTACGGTGTGACAGCAACATAATTACCAGTAATAAGTCCACTAGGAATGGGAGTATTCTCTGAAGCAATTCAACAACACAGGCTCTATAAATGCTTCTAATAACAGCACCTAAGATTCTTGGCTCAATATATAACCTGGAAAATAAAAACGTGCTGGCCTTATGGACTTGCCGCTTTAGTAAGATAAAGGTGGCCTGGGTTAGTATGCTTCCTATACCACAGAAACATCAACTGGGCCGACAAAGACTCCTCCATGTCAACGATCATGGGCAGTCATTGGAAAGATAAGCTCTCTCACCAAATTATGGAAGATACAGAAGTCAGTCTTGGAGGAAGTCATTATCGTTTTAGAAGCAGAAGGTACAAAGGGAGATAAAGGCATGAAAAATGCACATTCTAGAGAAGTTCAGTTCAAGAGAGTTTCCTGTGATTATGGAGTGTTCCATAATCTGTACTAATATACTAGCCACATGCAACTACTGGGTACAGTATTTGAAAGATGGCTAGTGTTCTCGAGGAAGTGAATTTTTAATGTAATGTGATTTTAATTTATTTAACTCCCAAAACAGTCATCTGTAGCTGGTGGCTATGGTATGGAACAATGCAACTCTAGAGATAAAAAGCCAAGTCCCAAGTAATTTTTAATTTCAGTACGTGGGCATACTAAGTGTGGAGGATCGCAAAGCCATTTTCAAGGTGAGTAAGCTCTTTTAAGAATCAAATGAATCTCCTCAAACTTCAGTAATAACTGAAGTTAATCCAGGTCATTTTCTTTCAGGTGGTTGGGGAATACTCTTTGGGGTTCTGAAACAGATCAGGAAAATGACTCTGGTCTGATTTTCAAAGAAGATATTTAAAACTCATTATTAGTTACAAATCTATATATAGAAATTAAGGTACAATAATTCTGCTATAAAAATATAAGCTATTCTAGTTTTGGAGGTTTTCTGAGGAAAAAAAGGTGTTTTTAAAAAAGGAAAACAACTCATTTAAGTCAGAATCAAGTCCAAAGTATCATGATCCATGGGCAATTTTTGTCAAAAATACCAGGAAAAACTAAGAGTTTAGTGATCTCAAATGCTAATATACGGAGACTCAAATTTCCTTCACAGGCAACAGTGTGTAGTGGTTAAAAGCTGGTAAAGAGATCTGGGCTCAAATAAAAGTTTCCGCCACTTACTAGTTATGAATATTCAGGTAAACCTGAGTTTGTTTTCTCGTTATTAGAATGGGGATAATAATAGCCTATGTGACCATGTGAAGGTTAAAGTAATATTATAACACATGTAAAGAGTTGCACACATACCCACATACAGAAGATACTCAGTATATGATAATGGTAGCTGGTTTTATTTTGTTATTGAGACCCTGCTACTCTCTCAACAATGGAAATTTCAACTGTGCAGATCCAGGAATCAGAACCACAGGAAAGAATACAACATCTTTATTTTGCTTATAATAAAGTTTGAATGATCTGATATGGTTTGGCTCTGTGTCCCCACCCAAAACTCATCTTGAATTGTACTCCCATAATCCCCACATGTTGTGGGAGGGACCCAGTGGGAGGTAACTGAATCACGGGGGCAGTTCCCCCATACTGTTCTCATGGTAGTGAATAAGTCTCACAAGATCTAATAGTTTTATCAGGGGTTTCTGCTTTTGCGTCTTCCTCACTCTCTTTGCCTGCCGCCATCCATGTAAGACTTGACTTGCTCCTCCTTGCCTTCTGCCATGATTGTGAGGCTTCCTCGCCATGTGAAACTAAGTCCAATTAAACCTCTTTCTTTTGTAAATTGCCCAGTCTCAGGTATGTCTTTATCGTCAGCATGAAAACAGACTAATACAAAATTCTTTTCGGGAAATTCTAAAAATATCTATTAGTGACCCATCTTCTAAAGAAAAGTTCATCCACGTCATTTTCCTTCAGGTGATTGAGGAATACTCTCTGGAGTTCTGAAACAGGTCAGGGGAACCTTCAGGTAGTTATGCTAGCTGATCAAGAGCTCTGTTCATTGCTTTTAAGAAGCAGCTACAGTTTTCTACATAAAGATGTAGTTTGTATAAAATGATGTGAACTAATTTGGAAAACAATCTATCTCCTAGTTGGGAATATTGGTCAGAATTCTCCATTTCATATCAGAATGTTAACCCTATTTCTATTCCAAAGCATACGGAGCCTCAGTCAACAACAGAATTTCAATATTCAAAGACCTCAGTAGATTACTATTATACAGTACATTCATTTTTTCCTCTGTCCAGCTCCCATTAAATACCTATCTGAGAAAGTGATTTTTAAGAAACATCTAAGGGGAAACATTCTTATAAGTATCACTCAAATCTATCCTTGTGTCAAGGGAGATCATCAGAAAGCTACATGCGATCTAAATTTCATTAGCCTAATATCCCTTAGCAGAATAACTATCCTTGAGTGTTATGGTCTTGTTTTTATTAAAAATAATTATGAGGAAGATTCATATTGCTTCTGTGTTGTCCATTTTCTTGAATGATATCGCCCATATAGGGAATTCACATGAGGAATTTGTTTTACAACTTAATATTAAAAAAAAGATTTTCTGGTCTTGAAGAATTATTAGGTGTCTGTCTACCTTTTAGATGATAAAAATGTAATCCACTGAATTTTCATTTTTTCGACCCTGCTTCTGGAAAACTCAGAGTCAACTTTAAAATTCATATGCTTTAAAATATGCTAATCACGAAAGTATATATTTACATGCATACTTGCTTTCTCTTCCTTGTTTTGGGCCGGATTTCTCTATTGTTAATGTTATTATACATATTCTTTCTTAATGATAAGCACTTCAAACTCTTTTTGAAAAGGCACTCTATAAATAAAATTTGCACTGAATACGTATCTGTAAACTTTTAAAAAGATTAAAGCCTCATGTTAAATTCTACAATCATCTTTATATTAAAGGTACATATTATGGCAAACTTTAAAGAATATCGTGAGTTACTTGGATTTTAACTATTCAATATTTTTTATTAAACGATAATAAAACCTCTAGCCAGCTGGAGAAAAGCAACTGCTTGAGATTTTATATGCTATTTAGAATAAATCTTAACAGCTTAATGAAGCTTTAATGTGTTCTTCCTGTCAAAAGGATGACTGCAAATGAGGGATGGAAGGATTCTTCTCTGATTGACAATGCAAATGCACTGAAGCAAATCAAAAGCAGATAGATTTCTCAATTAATAAAATATTTGCCATCCCCAAAATACACTATTCCATAACATACTAATTCTGGCAAAGTACCATAAACCAAACCCTTGTAGGATTAAAAATAATATACAAGCTTGGTGGTTTACGCTTGTAATCCCAGCACTTTGGGAGGCCAAGGTAGGCGGATCATGAGGTCAGGGGACTGAGACCACCTTGGCTAACATGGTGAAACTCTGTCTCTACTAAAAATGCAAAAAACTAGCAGGGCGTGGTGGCACATGCCTGTAGTCCCAGCTACTCAGGAGGCTGAGGCAGGAGAATCACTTGAACCCAGATGTTGGAGGTTGCAGTGAGCAGAGATTGCACCACTGCACTCCAGCCTGGGCGACAGAGCGAGACTCTGTTGAAAGAAAGAAAAGGAAAGGAAAGGAAAGGAAAGAAAGAGAGAGAGCGAGAGAGAGAGAGAAATGAATAAAATAATGATAATATACTGAGTCATAAAGGTACTTTATACGTTGAAAGAGCAAAAGAAGACTTTATACATTACTCATCCACATAGAATTCATACTAGTTTCTTAGAGCTCATGTTAAAAAAAATACAATAAAACCCCCCTAACTGTCTAGCTTCTATTCTTTTGATCCTGTTTTAATTTCTTCCCTTCTTTAGCTAGACACAAGTTGGCATTTCCACTTTAGCCACACATTGCGGGCAATGTAATTAAAGACCAAAACATCAGAGTAGTGGATATCTGTCTTTTGAAGTCTGCCCCTACACCAGCCCCATTTGAAGGAACTCTCTCTCTCCCGCTTTTAGTCACGTGGATCAGATGGAGATGACCCCGTCTGAAGCGAGCGAGCGCTCTAAGAGTGAGCATGCGGCACAAGGCTGGCCAACTCAACTCCCTGGTGGTGATAATTAGGGAAAGGATAGACACACCCTCCAAGCCAGCCAATAAGAATCATCTGAGTCATCCCCAGGATGTTTGACAACTATGGGGGGGGGGGGGGGGGTGGGGGGGGGGGGGGGGCTGAACATTTGTTTCTTCAGGATACTAGCTTTAAGGACAAGTAGGCAGAGGGCTGTCATCTCCATCCATATAGAGGGCAGAGGA